GTCCACGTCCACGTCCACGTCCATGTCCACGTCCACGTCCACGTCCATGTCCACGTCCACGTCCACGTCCACGTCCACGTCCACGTCCATGTCCACGTCCACGTCCACGTCCATGTCCACGTCCATGTCCACGTCCATGTCCACTCCTATGTCCACGTCCACGTCCACGTCCATGTCCACGTCCACGTCCACGTCCATGTCCACGTCCATGTCCACGTCCACGTCCATGTCCACGTCCATGTCCACGTCCATGTCCACGTCCACGTCCATGTCCACGTCCATGTCCACGTCCATGTCCACGTCCATGTCCACGTCCATGTCCACGTCCATGTCCATGTCCATGTCCACGTCCACGTCCACGTCCACGTCCATGTCCATGTCCACGTCCACGTCCATGTCCACGTCCATGTCCATGTCCACGTCCACGTCCACGTCCATGTCCACGTCCATGTCCACGTCCACGTCCACGTCCACGTCCATGTCCACGTCCATGTCCACGTCCATGTCCACGTCCACGTCCATGTCCACGTCCATGTCCACGTCCATGTCCACGTCCATGTCCATGTCCACGTCCACGTCCACGTCCTGTCCACGTCCATGTCCACGTCCATGTCCACGTCCACGTCCATGTCCACGTCCTGTCCACGTCCATGTCCACGTCCACGTCCACGTCCACGTCACCATGTCCACGTCCAAGTCCTCCACGTCCACGTCCATGTCCACGTCCATGTCCACGTCCATGTCCACGTCCATGTCCACGTCCATGTCCACGTCCATCCCACGTCCACGTCCACGTCCACGTCCATGTCCACGTCCACGTCCACGTCCACGTCCTGTCCATGTCCATGTCCACGTCCATGTCCACGTCCACGTCCATGTCCACGTCCATGTCCACGTCCATGTCCACGTCCATGTCCATGTCCACGTCCATGTCCATGTCCATGTCCACGTCCACGTCCACGTCCACGTCCATGTCCACGTCCATGTCCACGTCCATGTCCACGTCCATGTCCATGTCCACGTCCACGTCCACGTCCATGTCCACGTCCATGTCCACGTCCATGTCCACGTCCACGTCCATGTCCACGTCCATGTCCACGTCCATGTCCACGTCCACGTCCATGTCCACGTCCATGTCCACGTCCATGTCCACGTCCATGTCCATGTCCACGTCCACGTCCACGTCCATGTCCACGTCCATGTCCACGTCCATGTCCACGTCCACGTCCATGTCCACGTCCATGTCCACGTCCATGTCCACGTCCACGTCCACGTCCACGTCCATGTCCACGTCCACGTCCTCCACGTCCATGTCCACGTCCACGTCCATGTCCACGTCCACGTCCACGTCCATGTCCACGTCCATGTCCACGTCCATGTCCACGTCCATGTCCACGTCCATGTCCACGTCCACGTCCATGTCCATGTCCATGTCCAGTCCACGTCCACGTCCACGTCCATTCCATGTCCATGTCCACGTCCTGTCCACGTCCATGTCCATGTCCACGTCCACGTCCACGTCCATGTCCACGTCCATGTCCACGTCCATGTCCACGTCCACGGTCCATGTCCACGTCCATGTCCACGTCCATGTCCACGTCCACGTCCATGTCCACGTCCTGTCCACGTCCATGTCCACGTCCTGTCCATGTCCCATCCACGTCCACGTCCATGTCCACGTCCATGTCCACGTCCATGTCCACGTCCACGTCCATGTCCACGTCCATGTCCACGTCCATGTCCACGTCCACGTCCACGTCCACGTCCATGTCCACGTCCACGTCCTCCACGTCCACGTCCATGTCCACGTCCATGTCCACGTCCATGTCCACGTCCATGTCCACGTCCATGTCCACGTCCACATCCACGTCCACGTCCATGTCCATGTCCACGTCCCACGTCCACGTCCACGTCCACGTCCATGTCCACGTCCACGTCCACGTCCACGTCCACGTCCATGTCCACGTCCACGTCCACGTCCACGTCCACGTCCACGTCCATGTCCATGTCCACGTCCTCCACGTCCACGTCCACGTCCACGTCCACGTCCACGTCCACGTCCATGTCCACGTCCACGTCCACGTCCATGTCCACGTCCACGTCCACGTCCATGTCCACGTCCACGTCCACGTCCACGCGTCCACGTCCACGTCCATGTCCACGTCCACGTCCACGTCCATCACGTCCATGTCCCGTCCATGTCCACGTCCATGTCCACGTCCACGTCCACGTCCATGTCCACGTCCACGTCCACGTCCATGTCCACGTCCACGTCCATGTCCACGTCCATGTCCACGTCCACGTCCACGTCCATGTCCACGTCCACGTCCATGTCCACGTCCATGTCCACGTCCATGTCCACGTCCATGTCCACGTCCATGTCCACGTCCATGTCCATGTCCATGTCCACGTCCACGTCCACGTCACGTCCATGTCCATGTCCATGTCCACGTCCATGTCCACGTCCACGTCCATGTCCACGTCCACGTCCGTCCATGTCCACGTCCATGTCCACGTCCACGTCCACGTCCACGTCCATGTCCACGTCCATGTCCACGTCCATGTCCACGTCCACGTCCATGTCCACGTCCATGTCCACGTCCATGTCCACGTCCATGTCCATGTCCACGTCCACGTCCACGTCCATGTCCACGTCCATGTCCACGTCCATGTCCACGTCCACGTCCATGTCCACGTCCATGTCCACGTCCATGTCCACGTCCACGTCCACGTCCACGTCCATGTCCACGTCCACGTCCTCCACGTCCACGTCCATGTCCACGTCCATGTCCACGTCCATGTCCACGTCCATGTCCACGTCCATGTCCACGTCCACGTCCACGTCCACGTCCATGTCCACGTCCATGTCCATGTCCACGTCCACGTCCACGTCCATGTCCACGTCCATGTCCACGTCCATGTCCACGTCCACACGTCCATGTCCACGTCCATGTCCACGTCCATGTCCACGTCCACGTCCATGTCCACGTCCATGTCCACGTCCATGTCCACGTCCACGTCCATGTCCACGTCCATGTCCACGTCCACGTCCACGTCCACGTCCATGTCCGTCCACGTCCATGTCCACGTCCATGTCCACGTCCATGTCCACGTCCATGTCCATCGTCCACGTCCATGTCCACGTCCATGTCCACGTCCACGTCCACTCCACGTCCATGTCCACGCCCGTCCTCCACGTCCACGTCCACGTCCATGTCCACGTCCACGTCCACGTCCATGTCCACGTCCACGTCCACGTCCATGTCCATGTCCACGTCCACGTCCATGTCCACGTCCACGTCCACGTCCATGTCCACGTCCATGTCCACGTCCATGTCCACGTCCATGTCCACGTCCACGTCCACGTCCATGTCCACGTCCACATCCACGTCCATGTCCATGTCCACGTCCATGTCCACGTCCACGTCCACGTCCATGTCCACGTCCATGTCCACGTCCACGTCCATGTCCCGTCCATGTCCACGTCCACGTGTCCACGTCCATGTCCACGTCCATGTCCACGTCCACGTGTCCATGTCCATGTCCACGTCCACGTCCACGTCCACGTCCATGTCCATGTCCATGTCCACGTCCATGTCCACGTCCATGTCTGTCCACGTCCACGTCCACGTCCATGTCCACGTCCATGTCCACGTCCATGTCCACGTCCACGTCCATGTCCACGTCCATGTCCACGTCCATGTCCACGTCCACGTCCATGTCCACGTCCATGTCCACGTCCATGTCCACGTCCATGTCCATGTCCACGTCCACGTCCACGTCCATGTCCACGTCCATGTCCACGTCCATGTCCACGTCCACGTCCATGTCCACGTCCATGTCCACGTCCATGTCCACGTGTCCACGTCCACGTCCACGTCCATGTCCATCCACGTCCTCCACGTCCACGTCCATGTCCACGTCCATGTCCACGTCCATGTCCACGTCCATGTCCACGTCCATGTCCACGTCCACGTCCACGTCCACGTCCATGTCCACGTCCATGTCCATGTCCACATCCACGTCCACGTCCACGTCCACGTCCATGTCCACGTCCATGTCCACGTCCACGTCCATGTCCACGTCCATGTCCACGTCCATGTCCACGTCCACGTCCACGTCCACGTCCATGTCCATGTCCATGTCCACGTCCACGTCCACGTCCACGTCCATGTCCATGTCCATGTCCACGTCCATGTCCACGTCCATGTCCATGTCCACGTCCACGTCCACGTCCATGTCCACGTCCATGTCCACGTCCATGTCCACGTCCACGTCCATGTCCACGTCCATGTCCACGGTCCATGTCCACGTCCATGTCCACGTCCATGTCCACGTCCACGTCCACGTCCATGTCCACGTCCATGTCCATGTCCACGTCCACGTCCACGTCCATGTCCACGTCCATGTCCACGTCCATGTCCACGTCCACGTCCATGTCCACGTCCATGTCCACGTCCATGTCCACGTCCACGTCCACGTCCACGTCCATGTCCACGTCCAAGTCCTCCACGTCCATGTCCACGTCCACGTCCATGTCCACGTCCACGTCCACGTCCATGTCCACGTCCATGTCCACGTCCATGTCCACGTCCATGTCCACGTCCATGTCCACGTCCACGTCCACGTCCATGTCCACGTCCATGTCCACGTCCACGTCCACGTCCACGTCCACGTCCTGTCCATGTCCACGTCCATGTCCACGTCCATGTCCACGTCCACGTCCACGTCCACGTCCATGTCCACGTCCATGTCCACGTCCATGTCCACGTCCACGTCACGTCCATGTCCACGTCCATGTCCACGTCCATGTCCACGTCCACGTCCATGTCCACGTCCATGTCCACGTCCATGTCCACGTCCATGTCCATGTCCACGTCCACGTCCACGTCCATGTCCACGTCCATGTCCACGTCCATGTCCACGTCCACGTCCATGTCCACGTCCATGTCCACGTCCATGTCCACGTCCACGTCCACGTCCATGTCCACGTCCAAGTCCTCCACGTCCACGTCCATGTCCACGTCCATGTCCACGTCCATGTCCACGTCCATGTCCACGTCCATGTCCACGTCCACGTCCACGTCCACGTCCATGTCCACGTCCACGTCCATGTCCACGTCCACGTCCACGTCCATGTCCACGTCCATGTCCACGTCCATGTGTCCACGTCCACGTCCATGTCCACGTCCATGTCCACGTCCATGTCCACGTCCACGTCCATGTCCACGTCCATGTCCACGTCCATGTCCACGTCCACGTCCACGTCACATCCATGTCCACGTCCATGTCCACGTCCATGTCCACGTCCATGTGTCCATGTCCACGTCCACGTCCACGTCCATGTCCACGTCCATGTCCACGTCCATGTCCACGTCCACGTCCATGTCCACGTCCATGTCCACGTCCATGTCCACGTCCACGTCCATGTCCACGTCCATGTCCACGTCCATGTCCACGTCCATGTCCATGTCCACGTCCACGTCCACGTCCACGTCCACGTCCATGTCCACGTCCATGTCCACGTCCACGTCCATGTCCACGTCCATGTCCACGTCCATGTCCACGTCCACGTCCACGTCCACGTCCATGTCCACGTCCACGTCCTCCACGTCCATGTCCACGTCCACGTCCACGTCCAGTCCACGTCCACGTCCACGTCCACGTCCACGTCCATGTCCACGTCCATGTCCACGTCCACGTCCACGTCCATGTCCACGTCCATGTCCACGTCCATGTCCACGTCCATGTCCACGTCCACGTCCATGTCCACGTCCATGTCCACGTCCTGTCCACGTCCATGTCCATGTCCACGTCCATGTCCATGTCCATGTCCACGTCCACGTCCACGTCCACGTCCACGTCCATGTCCATGTCCACGTCCATGTCCACGTCCATGTCATGTCCACGTCCACGTCCACGTCCATGTCCACGTCCATGTCCACGTCCATGTCCACGTCCACGTCCATGTCCACGTCCATGTCCACGTCCATGTCCACGTCCACGTCCATGTCCACGTCCACGTCCACGTCCATGTCCACGTCCTGTCCATGTCCACGTCCACGTCCACGTCCATGTCCACGTCCATGTCCACGTCCATGTCCACGTCCACGTCACGTCCATGTCCACGTCCATGTCCACGTCCATGTCCACGTCCACGTCCACGTCCATGTCCGTCCACGTCCATGTCCACGTCCAAGTCCTCCACGTCCACGTCCACGTCCACGTCCATGTCCACGTCCATGTCCACGTCCATGTCCACGTCCATGTCCACGTCCACGTCCACGTCCACGTCCATGTCCACGTCCATGTCCACGTCCACGTCCACGTCCACGTCCATGTCCACGTCCATGTCCACGTCCATGTCCACGTCCACGTCCATGTCCACGTCCATGTCCACGTCCATGTCCACGTCCACGTCCACGTCCACGTCCATGTCCACGTCCACTCCATGTCCACGTCCATGTCCACGTCCACGTCCACGTCCATGTCCACGTCCATGTCCACGTCCATGTCCACGTCCACGTCCACGTCCACGTCCATGTCCACGTCCATGTCCACGTCCATGTCCACGTCCACGTCCTGTCCACGTCCATGTCCACGTCCCTGTCCACGTCCACGTCCACGTCCACGTCCATTCCACGTCCACGTCCTCCACGTCCACGTCCACGTCCATGTCCACGTCCATGTCCACGTCCATGTCCACGTCCATGTCCACGTCCATGTCCACGTCCAGTCCATGTCCACGTCCATGTCCATGTCCATGTCCACGTCCACGTCCATGTCCACGTCCATGTCCACGTCCATGTCCACGTCCATGTCCACGTCCCACGTCCACGTCCACGTCCACGTCCATGTCCACGTCCACGTCCACGTCACGTCCATGTCCACGTCCATGTCCACGTCCATGTCCACGTCCATGTCCATCGTCCACGTCCACGTCCACGTCCATGTCCACGTCCATGGCCTCCACGTCCATGTCCACGTCCACGTCCATGTCCACGTCCATGTCCACGTCCATGTCCACGTCCACGTCCATGTCCACGTCCATGTCCACGTCCATGTCCACGTCCATGTCCACGTCCACGTCCACGTCCACGTCCATGTCCACGTCCATGTCCACGTCCATGTCCACGTCCACGTCCTCCCCCCATGTCCACGTCCATGTCCACGTCCATGTCCACGTCCACGTCCACGTCCACGTCCATGTCCACGTCCACGTCCTCCACGTCCATGTCCACGTCCACGTCCATGTCCACGTCCACGTCCACGTCCATGTCCACGTCCATGTCCACGTCCATGTCCACGTCCATGTCCACGTCCACGTCCATGTCCATGTCCACGTCCACGTCCACGTCCACGTCCATGTCCACGTCCATGTCCACGTCCATGTCCACGTCCATGTCCATGTCCACGTCCACGTCCACGTCCATGTCCACGTCCAGTCCACGTCCATGTCCACGTCCACGTCCATGTCCACGTCCATGTCCACGTCCTGTCCACGTCCCGTCCATGTCCACGTCCACGTCCACGTCCATGTCCACGTCCATGTCCTGTCCACGTCCACGTCCACGTCCATGTCCACGTCCATGTCCACGTCCATGTCCACGTCCACGTCCATGTCCACGTCCATGTCCACGTCCATGTCCACGTCCACGTCCACGTCCACGTCCATGTCCACGTCCAGTCCCGTCCACGTCCACGTCCATGTCCACGTCCATGTCCACCCACGTCCATGTCCACGTCCATGTCCACGTCCATGTCACGTCCACGTCCACGTCCACGTCCATGTCCACGTCCATGTCCATGTCCACTCCCCGTCCACGTCCATGTCCACGTCCATGTCCACGTCCAGTCCACGTCCACGTCCATGTCCACGTCCATGTCCACGTCCATGTCCACGTCCACGTCCATGTCCACGTCCATGTCCACGTCCATGTCCACGTCCACGTCCACGTCACGTCCATGTCCACGTCCATGTCCACGTCCATGTCCACGTCCACGTCCATGTCCACGTCCACGTCCACGTCCATGTCCACGTCCATGTCCACGTCCATGTCCACGTCCACGTCCATGTCCACGTCCATGTCCACGTCCATGTCCACGTCCACGTCCATGTCCACGTCCATGTCCACGTCCATGTCCACGTCCATGTCCATGTCCACGTCCACGTCCACGTCCATGTCCACGTCCATGTCCACACGTCCATGTCCATGTCCACGTCCATGTCCACGTCCATGTCCACGTCCATGTCCACGTCCACGTCCACGTCCACGTCCATGTCCACGTCCACGTCCATGTCCACGTCCACGTCCACGTCCATGTCCACGTCCATGTCCACATCCACGTCCACGTCCATGTCCACGTCCATGTCCACGTCCATGTCCACGTCCATGTCCACGTCCACGTCCATGTCCACGTCCATGTCCACGTCCATGTCCACGTCCATGTCCACGTCCACGTCCATGTCCATGTCCATGTCCACGTCCACGTCCACGTCCACGTCCATGTCCACGTCCATCCACGTCCATGTCCACGTCCTGTCCATGTCCACGTCCCGTCCACGTCCATGTCCACGTCCATGTCCACGTCCATGTCCACGTCCACGTCCATGTCCACGTCCACGTCCACGTCCATGTCCACGTCCACGTCCATGTCCACGTCCACGTCCACGTCCATGTCCACGTCCATGTCCATGTCCACGTCCACGTCCACGTCCATGTCCACGTCCATGTCCACGTCCATGTCCACGTCCACGTCCATGTCCACGTCCATGTCCACGTCCATGTCCACGTCCACGTCCACGTCCACGTCCTGTCCACGTCCAAGTCCTCACGTCCACGTCCATGTCCACGTCCATGTCCACGTCCATGTCCACGTCCATGTCCACGTCCATGTCCACGTCACATCCACGTCCACGTCCATGTCCACGTCCATGTCCATGTCCACGTCCACGTCCACGTCCATGTCCACGTCCATGTCCACGTCCATGTCCACGTCCACGTCCATGTCCACGTCCATGTCCACGTCCACGTCCATCCACGTCCACGTCCACGTCCACGTCCACGTCCACCTCCACGTCCACGTCCATGTCCACGTCCACCCACGTCCACGTCCACGTCCATGTCCACGTCCATGTCCACGTCCCATCCACGTCCACGTCCATGTCCACGTCCATGTCCACGTCCATGTCCACGTCCACGTCCATGTCCCGTCCATGTCCACGTCCATGTCCACGTCCACGTCCACGTCCACGTCCATGTCCACGTCCACGTCCTCCACGTCCACGTCCACGTCCATGTCCATGTCCACGTCCACGTCCACGTCCACGTCCATGTCCACGTCCACGTCCACGTCCATGTCCACGTCCATGTCCACGTCCATGTCCACGTCCACGTCCACGTCCATGTCCACGTCCATGTCCACGTCCATGTCCACGTCCATGTCCACGTCCACGTCCACGTCCACGTCCATGTCCACGTCCACGTCCACGTCCACGTCCACGTCCACGTCCACGTCCACGTCCACGTCACGTCCGTCCACGTCCACGTCCACGTCCACGTCCACGTCCACGTCCATGTCCACGTCCACGTCCACGTCCATGTCCACGTCCACGTCCACGTCCACGTCCACGTCCATGTCCACGTCCATCGTCCACGTCCATGTCCACGTTCACAGTCCACGTCCACGTCCATGTCCACGTCCACGTCCACGTCCACGTCCACGTCCACGTCCATGTCCACGTCCACGTCCACGTCCACGTCCACGTCCACGTCCACGTCCATGTCCACGTCCACGTCCACGTCCATGTCCACGTCCACGTCCACGTCCACGTCCATGTCCACGTCCATGTCCATGTCCATGTCCACGTCCACGTCCACGTCCACGTCCATGTCCACGTCCACGTCCACGTCCATGTCCACGTCCACGTCCACGTCCACGTCCACGTCCACGTCCACGTCCATGTCCACGTCCACGTCCACGTCCACGTCCATGTCCACGTCCATCACGTCCACGTCCATGTCCACGTCCACGTCCACGTCCACGTCCACGTCCATGTCCACGTCCACGTCCGTCCTCCATGTCCACGTCCACGTCCACGTCCACGTCCACGTCCACGTCCATGTCCATGTCCACGTCCACGTCCCGT